TACAGCCGAAAGGTGTTGCTCTTGTGCTGCCCGGCCTCCATCTCGACGCCGAGCACCTCCGCGCGGCCAAACAGGTTGCGCACTCGCACCTCGGCGTCCATCGACCCCTCGCCCGCCGTGGAGTGGACTCCGGTTGAGGCAGTCGCAAGGCGCTGCCTCTCCGAGACGGTGACCACGACGTCCGCCAGCGGCATGTCGCCCTGCGAGCCGTCGGCCCGCGCGCGATCCACCGCGAAGTCCGCCGCCTCGAAGATCTGGAGCGACTCGAGGTGGGCCGCCGCGACGGCGCAGGCCGCGTGGATCTCGCCGAGGTTAGAGGCGGTGCGTAGTGCGCGCAGCTCGTTGCGAATGACCGACTCGTGGGTCTGCTCTGCGCCGCGCACGACGAGCCGATGCACGCGGCAGGGGGTGTCGGGCGTCGCGCCCGGCATGCGGCGAGGGCGGAGGCGGAGCGGAGGCGGCGAGGCGGAACGACCTGAGAAGCGCCGCCTTTTTTTCGTCTCTGTTATTGTGTTCTCTCGAGGTTCTCGAGGTGGATATCCTTTGGCCGCGTTGGGTAGCGAGGATTGGTGTGACGCGATCCACGCAGGCGTGTTATTGTGTGTGTGTGTGTGTGTGATTGTGTGTGGGCTGCTCCGAGGGGGCCCTCTGTGCGATCCGACGGGTAGGGGGGCTGTGCCCGGGCGGTGTCCGGTGTGGAGTCCCCTTCTGATCCCGCCTGGGATGTTGGGTGTGAGGTTGTGGCGGCTTCGATCCCAAGGGGGGGAGCTGATCCCACTCAATAACCAACTCTCAGGGGCAGTAGGTGGGCGAGCTTCAGGCACGCTCATCTAGATCGTCAAGACGTCGCTACGCGCGGTCTTCCGCGGGGGGAGCTGCGTCGACGGGTGCGGGACCGCGGCGCAGCCAGTGAGAGAGAGAGAGAGAGAGAGAGATCCCAAGGGGGGGAGCTGATCCCACTCGGTAACCAACTCTCAGGGGCAGTAGGTGGGCGAGCTTCAAGCGCGCTCATCTCGATCGTCAAGGCGTCGCTACGCGCGGTCTTCCGCGGGGGGAGCTTCGTCGACGGGTGCGGGACCGCGGCGCAGACAGTGCTGCGGCGATGCCTCCGGCTGCTGCGGAGAGTGGCTTGCTGCTCGCTGCGATGGCGAAGAACTCGTCTCGTCACACGCCAAGGGCTTATGCTCTGTCGAGACGTGAGGCGTATGCGCCCAGGAGGGGAGGGCGCATGCGTAACGACGCTGCTAGAGATGCCTTTCGGGGCCCAGAGATAAAACTTCTGATGCCATGCGTGACCTAGTAGTGTCCCCAGCTATGGGCGTGTCCACGTTGGAGCCAGGTGTGGTGTGGACGCGAGAATAGCTCCGCCGTCCACAGAGCAATCTCGGGGCAGAAAAGTGAGATCGCCTCGTCAGTAGAGGCCCATGCTAGGGCGCCATGGGCGCCGCCCATCTCGACCCTTCACCTGTCAGGCGGCCGCCTTTACTTTTCTGAGTCGCCACTGCACGGTCCCGCGCCTCGCCGCTAGGGCTCTAAGACGGGGGACACGGCCACGACTATGGGTCGTGTCCCCGCGCCCGCGTACGTGTGGACTATGGTCTATGCAGACTAGGTCCAGTATATATACCAAAAGGAGGGCTACCCAACGCGGCCAAAGGATATCCACCTCGAGACCTCGAGACCTACACGAGAGCAACCAGCGAGCGGCCCCCCCCCCCCCCACCCCCCCCTGGGGCTCCGCTCGCGCAGCAGGCCTGCGCCGCTACCCCAGCACGC